TATTTTTTTTTGGGTGGATTCTTCATTTCTCCTTCCCCCCCCCCCCCCCCCCTCTTTTCAATAACTCTTACAGGCTGGACGCGGATTGAAACTATCGATTCTCTTCTCCGTAAAGCAGGATACGCAGGCCAGATTACTGATAAAATTCGTGAAGGTATTGTTCTCACACGATACCAAAGTTCTAAACAGACGATCACCTATGAAGAATACATAAACTATCTTGAGAATAGCGGAATCATACCAGTGAAAGTGGGAAAGAAATCAAACAAGTCGTCGAAAATTGGGAACTTGTTATTCGAATAATTGGCGAGTGTTATTAATAGAATGTCTAATGTGACGTTGTAACTACAAGTTTTTATATGTGGAGGATCTAATATACGGCACAATTGAAAATTTCGAACTCCAAAGTGTATAATACATCAGCTTCGGGAATAAATACATTTCGCATCCCAGCAGCTTCATATGTACTGTTGTCGTTAATAGTAACGAGCACATATCCACATACTATGATCATTACATTTGCGTACTCCGTTCATGAATGGTTCATTGTGGGATAGTTCATTACATTGTAGTTCATGATCCGTATGCTAATATTAGTATTATGTGATATAGAATTGAATGTACATTTTAACAAATATCCTCGTGCCGCTCTAAGTATGAGAAGAGTTCCTGCCAACTTGCTGTTAAGCCAATTTTATTGTCTTTTATTCAATTCACTCCATATTTCAAGATAATTACAACCGAAGTTCTTCTCAAAACGCGTGCCTGATAATATTGAAAGCAAAATTTCACGTGAGGATTAGACGATCATTAAACGCGTCATTTGTTTGGCGATCATCAAACAACTTCGATTGTCGAAAAATGGATCTAAAGAATGTTGAAACACACATTGTATTTCATCAAAAATATGACAAAGGCGCTTACAGGATTCTCGACTTTACAAAGGAGTTGGGAGATCTCTATGCTGAGAAAATGGAAACTAACGCTGATGAATTTCCAAAGTACGTGCAAACGAGACTGGTCGTTGATCCAACTTCTAAATAATCGATGATTTAATTATTTTCGTCCATGTTTCGACCTCGCCACCCGTTCAATTGGTTCCTCAAAAGTTTCTGTATAAAGGGAGCTTTAGATGAAGAGGCGGTATTGTGCACAAATGATGCAACCTTCCAACTTCGGAAACGACTTACCACCAATTCGATGCTTATTTGCACTGAAGTACCAATCTCCGATGCCTCACCGTTGCCTGATATACAGACTGACAATGTTACATACGACAACACGCATGAAGTGAGAGTGGTCCAAGTATTGGACAATCAGACATTTACCGGAGAGCTAGTTAGGATCATACCCAATTTTGAGAAGATGAACACCTTGCTCGAGGCCACCGCGTATAAAGGACCCGATGAAGAAGAGCAATATTTGAAGGTAAGGTTTCTTTGAGAAGGATTTTACGTGGGGCGACGGTTAACCGAGGTTGAAATGATTTATTCAGAGTCAATTACCTGCTGCAGCATAATACAAAGTTTTATACTTTGGATGATCTGGACGATATTATACAAGCGAGTTTGGAAGAGATAAAACAAGTGCTGAAGAAGCGACTCGCTATTGAGCTCGATGGTATTACTACCCGTTTAAAAGTTATTGGCTTTTCTAACGATCGTGAAGTATTCACATTCTTTCACGTTTCCATTCTGAAGGATATTGGAGATACATTGATCCGGATTACATGTACAGAACGCTCGACATTATTCTTTCAACCGCGATATCTGACGGTATTTCACTCGATGAAATACGATTATCAGACATTTGCATGTCACTAAGCGGGTTAGGAATTCCTAAAGATATAGCTCGACAATGCTTGAAACAGTTTTCTGAAGCTGGCAACGAATATACTGAAGATGGTAAAAAATATGGCGAATTGTGATATTTTTACGACTCCAACTCATTACGAGATTACCAACGCGCGCGCGCGCGTCTGTTATTTCTTTTCAATCCCTCCCAAGACTGCTCTTACAGAATATCAAAGTCAAAAGTTTGCAAATACATGGGAACACATTTGTTACGTAAAGAAAGGGTAAGGCGTCGGATATCATAAGAGTTGACTCATCATTAGGAATTCCTTTGAATGATACTCACTATTTTATCATTCATTTAGGATAAATACCGGTGGATGGTCGACGACTTTATCGCAGAATGGCAGCAAATTGTACCATTTGACTTTGAACCGTCTCTTGACTTGTTACGAGTACGTCATATCGTTTTAGTTCTTTTGATTCACAGTGTCAATCGGATCGTTCGGTAGACCCGTAATTGTAATTCGCTACCCCCCTTCCCGGTTTTTCATCTCTCTTGTAATATTTTCTTAGACCCTTGTATAATTTAATCTTATTTTTAACTAACAACAAGTATGCGCACATTCTCTCCCATACATTCTCTCCCATCTACCTACACACACGCACAGGGCGAATATCTATTAGACTCTGATTCTGCCCTCGGGAAATCTACCATTCGATATTTTTCTGCCTCTGAACTTCCAACATCTGCACCTGAACGTTTCGACATTCTCTTTGCAGCAAGGTTTAAATGGGAGGCAGATGATATCAGAACCTATGTGGAGGATATCGCATTTGATACTATGCATAGAGATTATTTGCTATTAGAGTATGGCAGGCTAATTCGAGGAAGCGAAGGAAAGTTGTGGTTTTGCGGAAAGTACAGGAATAAGCGGGGATGATTTTATCTCAAAGTAATAATTAGGATATTTATACAATCAATCATCATGGGTTGCTTTGCGTCGTCTTTTGCGCCGGGCCCTAAAGCAGGTAATAACGTTAATCAGAATAACTTTTTGATGTTCCCTCTATATGAGCATATCTGTCGACACTTACTTGGTAGGAACTCTCGGTTCGATAATGCTCCTCTGTTGTAAACTAGTCATTCTGTCTACGAATAGATTGCCTTCTGGTTTTAGAGTTCTTAGAGACTCCGACAAGTCCTCTGATAATTGCACATCTATTGGAAGTTTAGGAACTCTGAAAGATTATAGACAAGGATGTTATACAACAGCATCGGGGGGTTTCGAGGGAGCATGACAGACTGAACATTGTCCTTACCGATATTTTCCTATCTTCTTGGGAGGGCGCTTTGTGTTCTCTTCGATCAACTTGGCTTTTTCCTGGAGTTTTTTCTCGTGTTTTGCTACTTCACTTTTAACCTGTTTGGCGATATTAGTTATTCTACAC